CCCCCCCCCAAAAAAAAGAAAGAAAGGAAGGAAGAAGGAAAGAAAGAAAGAGAGAGAGAGAGTAGGAAAGGAAAAGAAAGAAAAAAAATGATTCTTACATTAGGGGGAAATTTTAAGAACATACCAAGGAACTCAATCTATTTCAATATTATATTAATACTATATAAAAATAAATGTCAGCTGGATACTGGTGGCTCACACCTGTAATCTTAGTGTCTCAGAATACTGAGATCTGAGGATTGTAGTTTGAAACATCCATGAGACTTATCCCCAATTAACCAGCAAAAGCCAGAAGGAGAAGTGGGCTCAAAAGGTAGAATACCAGTCTTGAAAAAGAAAAAAAAAAAAAAGCCAAGCCAGAGCATAGGGCCAGCACAAAAATAAATAAATGAATGAATGAATGGATGCAAAAAACAAAGAAAAAAATCCATGATCAACCAACTATCAAGATAGGATCAAGGGGCTGGGAAGGTGGCTCAGTGGTAGAGCACTTGCCTTGCATGCCTGAGGCCCTGGGTTCGATTCCTCAGCACCATATAAGCAGAAAAAAGCCAGAAATGGCAAGGATGCCTTTCAAAACTACCCCCCAAGCTGACTCCTAATCCTCCCAAAGCACCCTATCCTGGGGCTTCTGTCAAACTGCTGCCCCTCAGTCTGAGCAAGGCACATTCCTCATACCCTTAGCCCCAGAGAGACCTGGCTTGGGCACTGTGTTGCTAGAGCAATGGCCCACTGGCTTTTGGACCTCCCAGTCAGTCCAAAACAATAACGTTTCCATCTGCTTTCTAGTAGTAGGTGTTAGGTTTTGCTTAATGCATAGCTACTGCATGAGATGACTTGATTATCTCAGCTTTCCAGGCCAAGAAACTGAAGCTCCAAGCATTTAAATAACTTGCCCAAAGTTACACAGCTCCAGGACATTGTAAGTGCATGTGCTTCTCAAAGGAATGGACCAGCTCTGAAACCTGGCTGGCCTCAGACCCAGGACAGGAGAGGTTGGGAGCTCTGTCTGATTCTCTCTAGTTGCTTCTGCTCCTCCATCCCAGAGGCTGACAAGGGGAGGTGTTGTCTTTGGACCTGAGAGAGATTTGTCCTCTCTTCTGGTAGGTCTCCTATCAAGGACCAGTTAAGGCATCAAAGCCTGATTCCTCACAGGGAAATCCCTGGTGCAGTCTGCCCTATCTGACTCACTAGACCCAGGGTGTGAGTCAGACCCCTTCCTTCCCTGGGCTGTGGTAGCCCATGGGGAAACCACACTGACATAAGCCCAATTCAACCACAGGGAGGAGGATGGAGAAAGAAGGAAGCAGACAGCACTGAACAGCTGAGACTGGAGGGGGGGACAAAGAAGGTTAAATAGTCCAGATTCAGGGTGTGTGTGTGTGTGTGTGTGTGTGTGTATGTGTGTGTGTAAAACCCTTCTATTGCTTGAAAAAAATAATTGAACCCAGGGCTTCATGCATGCTAAGTAATATTCTACCACTGGACTATATCTCCAGCCTGCAAACTTTGTCTTGCTCTTTCAGGTAGACAGCAGGTGATTCAGAGTCTGGTGTGAAATTCCACTATTAGAGAGTCATTCCTTTAGCTTTAGAGAAGAGTCTTCTACTTAAGATACAGTGGAGAAAGGTAAAACATGGAGCCTTATTCATATGAATATGATTTATTTGTCCAAATAAATCCAGAGACCAAAATACAAGCTAACAGAGTTGTGTATTTAGAGGCTGGTTCTGACAAACACAGACACTTCCCTCAGGAGTGAGCAGCCAGGAACAGGATGGTCCTGTAGTAAAAGGGTGGCTGAGCAAGTCTAGAAGAGCTTCTTCTACAGAACGGGAAAAGATTTTAAAAAATACTTATGTGGATAAATAAATATTTATAATTCAAAAGCATAACTTTAATGACTGCATAAAATGTCCTCATCTATTTAATTATTTCCATTTCAATTAAATGTCCCTTTTCTTTCTGTTTTTCAAGATAAAGTCTTGCTATATAGTTCAGGCTGTCCTTGAACTCGAAATAGTCCTTCCTGAGTGCTGAGATTATAGACATGTACCACCATACCCAGCTCTAAAATATAATTTTAGATCCACAGATATACATTTTTAAATTATTTTGTGCATGTATGCTGGTTGTGGGACTTGAACTCAGGGCCTAGGTGCTGTCCCTGAGGTTTTTTTTTTTTTGCTCAAGGCTAACACTCTACTACTTGAGTCACAATACACTTCAGGCTTTTTGCTGGTTAATTAACAATATGAGTCTCTCAGATCTGTCTGTCCAGCTGGCTTGATACTGGCAACCCTCAGATCGTAGCTAGCATTACAGGCATGAGCCACTAGGAACAGGCAAGTTTTTTTTTTTTTTTTTTAGTTCTTTATCATTATCACCAAACTGCCTACTAGATGTGTACCATGTCATGTCCCTGTACCAGTGTATGGGAATGCTAATCTCACGGTATCCCTCCAGCACTGAGGATAATATTTTTGGTAAACTGCTGATTTCATCAGAACCAACAGGGGCCATCTCCAGTGGCACTGGCTATGTCATGTTGGCCAGGTGGAGCCCTGCTCCCTGGGTTCCCAGCTGGAGAAGCTCACTCTGGAAGAGACTCAGAACTGGGACTATGCTGAGAAACAGGAAGGGAAAGTTTCAGGCTAGGACATCATTCACAGGAAAAGAGGAGAGGATCCAGGCACTGGTGGCTCACGCCTGTAATCCTAGCTACTCAGGAGGCTGAGAATTGTGGTTCAAAGCCAACCCAGGCAGGAAAATCCATGAGATTTTTTTTTTGTCTGTCTTGGGGCTTGAACTCTGGGCCTGGGTGCTGTCCCTGCACTCTTGAGCTCAAGGTAAGTGCTCTACCATTTGAGCCACAGCGCCACTTCCCCATGAGATTTTTTTTTTTTTTTTGGTCAGTTGTGGGGTTGAACTCGGGCCTGAGCGCTCAGCTCTTCAGCTCAAGGCCAGCTCTCTACCACTTGAGCTACAGCACCACTTCCAGTTTCCTGGTGGTTTAATGGAGAGAAGAGTTTCATGGACTTTCCTGCCCAGGCTGGCTTTGAATCTCAATCCTCAGATCTCAGCCTCCTAAGTAGCTAGGATTACAGGTATGAGCCACTAGCACCCAACCCCCATGAGATTCTTATTCTCCAATTAACTTCCCAGAAAACCAGAAATGGAGCTGACAGAGCTCAGAGACAGCACGCGAACACTAAGTTCAGCCTCATGATCAAGAAAGAAAGAAGAAGCCGGGCGCTGGTGGCTCACGCCTGTAATCCTAGCTACTCAGGAGGCTGAGATCTGAGGATCGCGGTTCATAGCCAGCCGGGGCAGGAGAGACCGTGAGACTCCTATCTCCAATAAACCACTAGAAAACCGGAAGTGGCGCTGTGGCTCAATTGGTAGAGTGCTCGCCTTGAGCTGAAGATCTGAGGGACAGCGCCCAGGCCCAGAGTTCAAGCCCCATGAACGACAAAAAAAAGAAAGAAAGAAGGAAGGAAGGAAGGGGAGGGAGGGAAGGAAGGGGAGAGAGAAGAGCATGAGAACCTGGATATCCAGGACACACCCTGGAGGCACTTAGAAAATGAGCAGAGGATGGAAGGGTCCCTGGGAAGAATGCAAGTGTGAGGCCCTGGGCTTAATCCTCACCTCTGCAAAAATAAGCAAAAAAGCTGGAGTAAAGGCAAAAAAGAAAAAAAAATGGAGAGAAGAAGAAAGAAACTGGTGGTACGGACAAGGCAAAAACCAAAACAGAAGTGTTGCCTAATTCATGGAATTCATTGTTTTATCCAAGAGCATCCATTCAGGTGACATATATACAGCCAGTCATCAACTCAAGACGATTCAACTCATTCAATTTTTCCATGGTGCAAAAAGTAATAAGCATTCAATAAAAAGTTATTATCTTTTCCCTGGCTATGAATATGCAATCTCTCTCTCTCTCTCTCTCTACATACATACATACACACACACACACACACACACACACACATACCACACATACATACATACATACATATATACATACATACATATATACATACAT